CAATATTACTGCAAGTACCTGTGTGCATGTTTTTAAAAGAGGAAATAAAATGTTCTGTGGTCTTTAGAAAAACAGATTTTCAATAAATTCGACAAACAGTAAAAATATATTCCACCTCTACAGGGTGTCCCAAAGGTCACCCAATATATGTACAAAGGGAAAATGGGAAACTATAGCTTATATGCGTCTTTACTTACAAAATAGTCATCATCAAATTTTATAAAATGTTTACAAAATATTTCTCCACATGTTGATATGTAAATATAAAAAAAGAAAAAGAACAGAAATGAAAAGAAAAAATACATAAAATATGAGTTTATTAATTTTTGTATGTATAGTGATCTTTGGGACACCTTATAATATGATCTATTAAGCAACAAACAGAACGTAAATGGATGTGAAAAGGAGAAAAAAGTCAGCATAAGTAAATACGAGACAGAGAACTGTACAACAAAAAAATTCTAGAGGGAGGAACAAAGAGACATATTAACAAACAAACCTAACCAGAGAAAACAAGAATTCTAATTCAATATAATTCAATCTGCATGAAATAAAGAATATTCACATCTCCTGGCTTTTTAATACTGTTGCTGAAGTTCTTTTTCAATCACAAAATGGAAATTAAACCTGTGTACTGGGTTTCTTCGAAGGCATCAATCTCCATGTTAGCCTATGACAACTGAAAGACCACTAGATAGCCTCAAAAAAACTAGAGTTTTTCTGTTCCTTAGGTTCCAAATTTTTCAGAACCAATTCCCAATTTATGGATTATAAAAGTTATATGGTCTTCTAAGTAAATCTGAATTCTTATCACTTTGGGGCATTTTGGCACTCATTTTCTATTTTGTATCTCACTGCTTGGGGACACAAGTAGATACACTTCTACTCACACACAACACTTTTGATAAAGCCAAAATTGGGGAACTTGATCACTTGTACATTTTGCTACCAAGAACTACCACCCTCAAAAGAACAGGTTCCTTCATGTTTTTAAAAGACATGTAAAACAGATGTTTAAAGAAATGTAAAAGATGTTTAACACTCTTTTACTTCTATATACATAATTTTCCATTGTGTAACAAGGCCAATTACTTAAAATTCACAGTTCTTAGATAGCAATACCAAATATTTTTTTCCAGCAAAATTGAACTAAAATTTAAGTTTTTTCCTGAAGAACAGACGAGGGTACATAGCTTTTATTATGTAATCTTAATTAAAATCGCCAAAAATTAAATCAACATGAGCTTATTATATTAAGATAATATATCTTAATAAAATATGATTATCTATTCTCTGAAACTATCAATGAGCTATCAGTACCCAAAAGCCATCTATGCACTATAACTTTTCATTTGTAGTTATGCATCTGGAAAAAATATGTTTTTCCTATGCATAGTAGTCTTTTTTAAAAAGTATGAGAATGCATTCACTTACATGACATCTAATCATAAACAAAAACCATGTGCAAAAACCAATGTTTCTTTCATCCAAATCCCAAAAATTGCTGAATGTAACATACTGTAGGACAACCTAAAAATAAACTGTTGCCCCAAATTTGAATTTTTAGTTCTTTACAAAAACTATTTTTTAATTAGTCATAAATGTTAGAAAAGTTGCTTAATATTTACAATAAATCTTAAATATTATGTATTTTCTCCATAATTATTACAATAGTGTCCAGAATTCAAATATGTTGCCTGAATTTTAATTCAGAGCATCCACCATCATTCCACTTCTCCAACCAGAAAGAGAACCAAAAAGAGTTAGTCCCTTGCACAATAATTGAGAGGGCAATTCTGATTTTGCTTAAGGCTGTAAAATTGATTAAAAAAAAAAAACATAAAAAAAGTTAAAAATTCCTTGGGCTGGGTAGAACAGGCTGATGATAACAATAATTTAGAGAATCCAACAACTGATTCAAAATCATGTCTTTGCCTTATAATGAATAAAGTACCTATTTCTTTTTGTCTTAGAAGCTAAAGTATTTAACAGACATTAACAAATTTTTTAAAGGACCATAATGATTCCAAATATGCAGGTGGGAGATTTATACTGACAAGGTGCCCCAGTTTTTCTTAATGACCACTAGTGGCTTTTTTAAACATCACTGGTTCTCTAAGTTTCATGGCTGAACTAACAGAGACAGCCTCCAAGTGTTCAAATTACAGGTCAGCCACATACACCGAGGCTGGTGGGTTCGAACCTGGCCTGGGCAAGCTAAACAACGATGACTGCAACAAAAAAAATAGCCAGGTGTTGTGGCAGGAGCCTGTAGTCCCAGTTACTTGGGAGGCTGAGGAAAGAGAAACGCTGAAGCCCAAGAGTTTAAGGTTGCTATGAGCTGTGACGCCATAGCACTCTACCGAGAGTGACATAGTGAGACCCTGTATTAAAAAAAAGAAAAGAAAAGAAAAACAACAAAAAAACAAGAGCCCACACATCATTCCACTTTTCCTACCAGACAGAGAACCACAAAGTGAGTTACTCCCTTTACAAATAATTGAGAAGACAATTCTGACCTTGGCGGGGAGAGGGGGATATAAAATTTATAAAATGAAAAAAATAAATAAAAATTCCTTGGGCTGAGTAGAATAAAAGGCTGATAATAACTTTGTTATACACAAAATCAGGGCATTCTGGGAAAAAATATAATTTCCTATATATTTCCTTTCATTTCATCTGCATTATTCTTTCCTACTCATTCCCCTTCCTGCTGGGCTGAAGAAACACTTACGATTGTTTCTTTGGGAAGAAGAAACATAAAATTACTTGTATCACCCAAAAAAAAAGAGGAAGAAAAAAATCATCAAGCAAACATCTTTGTAATTACATCAGCGTCAGCCATCAGCTATCAGGTCCTCAACAGAACAGAAGATTCATGTCCATCTTTCCATTTTGGTAACTTTTCATTTCACAAACTTGCCCAACCCTAATAATCACCAGTGAGGCTTGTTGGAATTTCAGATTTTCTGGCTCCTTTCAAATTAATCAGTACCTTTAGAAGGACCTAGGACTTCTTTTTTTACAGGGGGGTTAAGTAAGCATACAGGTAATTTTTATAATGCTAAGTTTAAGAGACATTGGTCTTGGGACTATGTTCATCTTAAAAAAAAATCCATTTCTGCTTTTCCTTTTTATAAGTCCCTTAGGAAGTATATATAGATTACTAAACTGCACACATCAAAAAGCTAAAACCCAGTACACTTTGCATGCTAACCCTTTAGGGTAGCTGAATAATATATAAAAATAACCTAGTTTTTATCTTTAGGGTTGGTGCTCTAATTCACTATCTCAAGCAGTGAAGGTTCCTCTAAATTCCAATTACTTGAAGCATTATCATACTGCTTTCTGTCTACAGACTTTGCAAAGAAATTATACTGCCTGACATGTGCTATTCAAAGGCCTTCACAGAATGAAAGAAATCTAAAATTCAAAGGTAATACAAAAAGAAAGAGTTTGAAAATGGCCTAAAAGGAAATAAAAGGAAAATGGCCTAAAAGGAAACATATAGCTATGTTTATTTCTTTCACCATTGCTATCCTTGGTGTGTAGTATAGAATGTGGCACCTAGTAAGCATTTAATTCATGGCTGATGAGTGGATGGATGGGAGTAAATGAAAGAATGGGGCATGTGTTGGTGAGACAAATAAAAAATGGCATCAAACAATTCAGTAGTACCTTTAAGGGAGAGAAAAATATTTTTGAAATTTCTTTAAATTACCTGGTAGAAAACCTTTACCAGCCTTTAATCTGAATAACTGACATTGAAATTTATTTTCAAAACAGGAAAGGCAAATCCTGAGAGGCCCACAAAAGCACAAAAGGAAAGAAAAGGAAACAAAAGCTAAGGTGGTGCTTCAGGAGTAATAAAGCCCGAGACAAGCAGTCCATGAGGACAGTCGCACACAATGTGACGTCAATGCTCCTCCCCAGAGTGTGGAATCAGCATTGAAAACCATACACAGCATATGTCAGTGCCCAAATTCACAAGAACACGACTAAAGAAAGGGAGAGGCAGAGGCAGGGAGAGGTAGGGCAAAATCCAGGGGAGACAGAATGAGGAAGAGAGGCAGGGAAACAGCGTGCAACATCGCATGCAGGGACCTTGGTGAGGACAAGTGGGCACTGGGTAACACTCGGTGGGAACAGAGGACCAGAAAAAGTGAGACACACCTCAATCACAGAAACAAACCGCTTACCCTCCGCTTTAGTGGTAGTACCATCTTTAAGCAAATTAAAAAACAAGGGAAGGGATAACAGGGAACAGTTAGTAACATTCAAAAAATTAAAAAGCAGAATGTTATTAGCTACTAAAAAAAGCAAAAGTACAATTTAAAACAAAATTAAACAGGAAACAAGTTCAACAGCAAAGCAGAGTCTGAAGCAAGTAAGGGTGCCTTCTGTTGAAATTAGCTCAGCACAGTATAACGTGTTTTTGCCTTTGGAGAACAACACACAGAAGGGCAACCCAAGGTAGTGCCACAGTTGAAAGAGTAATTTTTGTTTTTTGTTTTAGCCACCCCTTATCTTGTTAAGAATTCCTTTTTCGGCTTAGCGCCTGTGGCTCAAGTAGCTAAGGCGCCAGCCACATACACCTAAGGTGGCGGGTTCGAATCCAGCCCAGCCCGCCAAAACAACAATGACGGCTGCAACCAAAAAATAGCCGGGCGCTGTGGTGGGTGCCTGTGGTCCCAGCTACTTGGGAGGCTGAGGCAGGAGACTCACTTGAGCCCAGGAGTTGGAGGTTGCTGTGAGCTGTGATGCCAGAGCACTCTATCCAGGGGGATAGCTTGAGGCTCTGTCTCAAAAAAAAAAAAAGAATTCCTTTCTCTTGGAAGAAAAGTACTAGCAAAAGGGGGTAAGGGTGGGGAACAGAGACTAGAAATTAAAATACTAAGGAGTCCCCAAAGGACAGAGGCAATAGGAAGCTCAGAGAAGCTAGCTCTAGCAATGCCTATCCCAACTACAGGCCCAGCAGCAGAAGCTGTCGCGCATGGTACCTGAATCCAGGCCTATGTACTCCATGTCTTCCCTCATGTGTCTGGACTCTAGAAGTTTGGAAAAGGATTATCAGTTTTAAAGCTATACGTTTGCAAAGATGTCATGTGCAACCTAATTATCACAAATTCTCAGTAGAATTATATTTCAGGTGTTTGGTGTTTTTTAGTTCTTTGGAGGGGGAGACATAATAAGGAATGAGAAGTAGAATTCTCAGGAAATGATAAGAGAATCTGAATACTCCAGTCTCATTCTTTGAAGAGGTCAATTCTGGGCTGAAAACTCATCAACGTTCCTGAAGGGTAATTTTTACATCATCAGACCAAAAGATCTGATGGCTTTTACTAGCAATGGGGGAAATCTACATGGCTCAGAGTCAAACACCCAAAATATGCACAGAAAAACAAAGTACTCCAAGGCTGGTTTTTACTCCCATTTTCCAGCAATGAAAAAAATACTAATTGCAGGGCAGTGCCTGTGGCTCAAAGGAGTAGGGCGCCGGCCCCATATGCTCGAGATGGTGGGTTCAAACACAGCCCCGGCCAAAAACTACAAAAAAAAAAAAAACCAAAAAAACTAATTGTAAATGCTAAAGGTGGCTCGAATGGATCAAAACACAAGTAAATCCATAAAAACTAAACTAAAATTAATAAAACTAATTGACCACAGGAGAGAAAAGTTATTATTTCTCCCTTGCTCAATGATTATATATTAACATAAGAACTCTTACATAATGCAATATAGTTCAAACATTTAAAAAGAGTTCTTACTGAGTTTCTTCCTAATTGAAACGTGTGTGTGTATGAGGTACTTCCCACAAGAAAACAAAACTGACCCTGGAGATGTTTTAGTACATATACCTTTCAAATTAATAATGTTCCTGTCAAAATCACAATTTCTTCCCGTTTTATAGAACAACAACTTATTAAGAACCTTTATATAATTTCATTTAGGTGGCTATTAATTTAAGTAATTTATGGGTACGGAAAACAGACTTGAAGATTCTGTTCTCTCCCAAAGCCAGTGAGCAGCAGGCCCAGGAATCATCACAGCACAGTGCTGTTCACTCAACAGTGCTGCCTATACCCAAAATAATTTCAGAATTATTAGTTTCAGAGCAGACTTTAGAACTCATCTGTAAGCCCTGTCACAAGTAACTTAATCTTTATATATCATAAAGTTTAAATTTTATTCATTTCTTTAAAATTCAAAAGAGAAACAATTAAGTCACTAGATCTTGGCTTCAAAGGGTGTCCAATCTGTGGCCCACATGCTGATTCTGTGAGGACTTTTTTTCCTTATCTATGTTGTCTGATATCACGAAAAGTGTTCATGAACCTTTTTTTCTGCAAATCACCTTACACTAGTGTCCGTGTATTTAATATGAGGCCTAAGACATCTCTTACTCATCTAATGTGCAGCAGAGGAAAAACAAAAGTTGGACACCCCTGGCTTACACAGAGTAGGTATTAAATATTAGCTTAAAAAATCAGTAATTCATATACTACTTATGTCAGATATTAAAGTTTTGCTTTAGTAATTTTTTAAAACTCCCTTGGGCAATCATTAAAGAGCATCCCCTCCCAAAATGACAATAGAAAGACAACAGTTTCTTGTACAGATGTGGTTATACTGGTCAAAGAGCCATCACACATCCCTGTAAAGTCCTCCTGGCATCCCTCCTTTACCTCCAGCCCCACCTTCCTTCACTGTGTTCTCAAACTGAGAAACATCTCTTTGGTGAATCCTTCGGCGAACCCTCTGGTATGCTCCCACCAGGGTCAGGGGGGTAGAAAACCCAGGTCTGGTAATAAGGAAGGTGGTTTAGGTACTAGGTGGGCTGCTACACGTGAGGAGGAAGTGAGCTGGGGGAAGGATGTGCTCAATGCCACGCACCCTATGAGCACGAGTGTACTTACTCATTACAAAGAATGATGCTCCTGAGAAAGGGACCACTCAACAAAGGTGGCTGCTAACCAGCAGTAAGTGCATGACATCATTTATACTTAAATATCAGCCTTGCCACAGTGAGTATTTCTTTAATTATGGGTTTGGGTAATTTGCTAAGAGATACAAGTCATCCCGAACAGCAGAAGAGGAGGGTTATGTTACCTAAGGATGCATATGACCCTGGAGGCAAAGCTGCTGCAGAGCTGAAAGGCATCCCGCCTGAAGAGGAGGAGACTTTGGATTTGGCACTGGCTGCTGCATTCACATCAATATCACTTCGAGACCGCTGCAGGGACCCAGTTGTTGACACAGATTTGGTACTAACTGTGGAAGCTTTAGTGGTGAAGGAGGAAACATTAGTAAGGACTCCATAGAATTTTAAACATATATTGTTAAAACTTGATACTGCTCTGCTTTTCTTGAAAACAAGGATCATGTTTTAATACATGCTAGTGTACACAAGACTGACCAACAATCTCTCCTAGGCACTGAAGACAGAGTTTAGGCAATGCTAAAGAAAACGAAAGTGACCTCAACTGTAATTTCTCCATTACATTTGTTTTCTTATAATCAAAGACAATAAATCTAAAGGAAATGAACCAAACTTCTGGTTAATATGAAAAGAAGTAATGAAAATCATTGCCATCTGGCCAGTCTTCTCATAAAGCGATATAGCTATGCCGTGCACTCTTCCTAGAGGCCCTCTGCCTTTCAGAGATTACACCACTCTCCCTTCTCTAACAGCCACCACGCTGCCGCTGCCAATTTCAGAAAAAGAAGCAGCATAGTTTGTGGCAGTACGGACATATTGGTGGGAGGTGCAGAGCAAAGGTCACAGAGCTTCATTCCTGAGTCACCCTGACAATGCTGTCTTCAGTGGCAACTGGACCTGGCCAAGAGGAGCTCTGCTGAGCAGAGTCAATTCAGAGGCAGAGCAGCACCCTATCTGGGCTGAGGAGGAGCTGGGCACAGAGGCTGTGCTGGGTCTCCCACAGCGGCCTTCTCCGCAGCGTCAGTTAGTCTTACCTCTAGACGTGGTACTTCCAGTAGGACTTCTTTTGGCAGAGAGCGGCCGACTAAAAATAAAGGTATAATGTGTGTTTATTATCAAATATGTACTTTACCTGCATCAATACAAGTACAAACCACAATTATGATAAGGAAGAAGTGTTTCAAAGTTTTCAGAATTTGTCAGACCAGAATGAAATACAATCTTATAAACCCCCAAGTTCCAACAAAGATGTAGCAATATAGGGCCGGGCACAGTGGCTCACACCCGTAATCTCAGCACTTGGGAGGCTGAGGCGAGTGAGAGCCTGAGCTCACAGGTTTGAGACCACCCTGAGCCACAGCCAGACCCCGTCTCTGAAAAATAGCTGGGCGTTGTGGTGGGCGCCGGTAGTCCTCAGTCCCACCTGGGAGGCTGAGGCCCAATGAGCACTTGAACCCGAGAGGTTGAGGTTGCTGTAAGTTAAGACACCATGGCACTCTACCAACTCTACCAAAGGTGACCAAAGACTCTGTCTCAAAAGAAAAAAAGATTTAGCAATATATTTTGGCCTACCTTTCAATTATAGAGACCAAAGTAGTAACTGAGACAGAAAGCAGAAATAAAGAGTGAAGATGATAATATATTAAGTCCTAGTTTTGAATGCTCTCCATTTCTAGGATCACACTTACTTGCTTTTAGAAGACTCTACATATGAAGCATTGTATATAGTTCACACTGCTCTATAATTTACTTGTGTTATTCTAAAACTGTATTCTGTATAGTGTATTGAAAAACACTATAGCAGAGACTAAGGCCACCCATAGCTTACTATTCCCCATGATAGCTCACCTATTACCATGATTCACCTGAAGGGGGAATTTGAACAGGCACATTCATATACAAACATAGCTATAATTTGTTTCCAGGCAGCAAAGTTTTCAATACAAATTCTCACATTAATGACAAGCAATGTGAGTCCTTACTTCAGACTCTCTTGGGAGCTAGAAGATGAGCGGTCAGATTGAGGCAGAGACACTATGCTATCCGAGTTCTTCAGATGGGACTGTAGGGCTTTCTGGTAGGATGACTCCAAGGTGTGGTATAAATGCTCTGCTTCTCTGCTGAAGTGACTGTGGAAACCCCAATAACATCTAGGGAAAACACATAAATTCTTAGTCTACTCTGAGGATCTTACAAGGTCCTTCGCCGAGCTTTGGAGTACACCATGTAACGTCTGATGAGTAGAAGCCTCAGTTTACCTGCTAATTATAGCAGCATGGTATAAGGAGGAGAAGGTGAACAAGGGAGGCCAGGGATGAATCTTGGCCTCACAACTTACTGGCTTCTGATACTGGCCAAGTTGACACTCAACATTTCTGAACCTTAGCTTCATTTATAAAATGAGAATTAAAGGGCTTAAATTGCACGATTGGGGAGCCTTAGGAATGATGTAGCTAAACATCTAGAATTGTACCTAGAACACAGGATAGATTCATTAATGGTAGCTTTTATAAACACAATCTGACATTTTTTGATTTGAGGTATTTAAAATTGCCTTAGATAGTATGTACAGAAGAAAAAAATGTTCTGAGTTACTTGATATCTATATTACATTATGATTAAAGACTATGAAAAATGGGGGGATACCATACAAGGATAAAAACAGCACAAGCAGATCATTAGCAAATTCATTCCTAATAGTTTTTAGCAGCTATTAATTATGTCACTTATTTAGTAAGAATTACCTAAGATGAGATTGTGGCAAATGCTCAAAAACGTAGTTTCAGAGAAATATTACTTAACTGTGAGGGCAGCCAGAGAACAGTAAGTGCTGGATCAGGATGTACTAATGCAGCTAAGGAAAACCATGATGCTGCAGGATAGTAAGACTAGATTTTTGCTTGTGTCAATTAGAAGATCTGGTCAACCATGAGAGTACATAAAAAACAGCCACAGATGCAAAGCCAGCAGTGGCTACGGTTTGCCACTCTATGCACTGCCAAAGACACATGAAGTCTTAATATGAAGTTTCTGGTATTTATAGTCACAGTGGCAAAATTATTCCCAAAGAGGTGGGTATTGGACATACAGACCATGGTCACATGACTGGAACATACCAGTCCTAATGGCAAAACTGCCTCAACTGTGAGAAAGAAATAGCAAGTTACCATGGTGACAATCCTGGGCACTAGGTCAATATAACTCCCCTCACTGTGATCATTCACCAAGCAACCACCTGATGCTTGGAAAGAAGAGAACACAGGGAGAGAATCCCCTGTGACCACGGTTTTTCAAGGCAAATCTATAAAGTACCTTTGGATTGTGACATGGCTTTTAACAATCTTTAATTAGTTAAGAAAAATTCTTCGAGTATGCATACAAATAATTTCTCATCTATGTGATAATTTCTCATAAACTTACAGCATCACTCAGTCAACTTTCTAAACAGAGAACAGTCCATGGCCTTTGGGGGTCATATTTAAAAGTCATGATTAATAAAATGTTTGAATAACTTAATGGGCTTTAAATTAAGTCAATCCATACAATGCATGCAAAAATAAAAAGTGCAACAAACACAACAAAAACTTACTTTCTAGCTTCTATCCTTGCTTCAGAATCGGCATCATGTATTCCCTTCTTTATTGTTTCAGCTAATACTGATATATGTCTAGATATTTAGAAAAGAAAAGAGTAACAATCATAATGTATGGTTTTATGCAGATGATATCAGGTTTGAAAAGTAACTTCAAAAGGTCATGTAGAACTTAAAAGCCTTGGTGCCAAGGCAGACCATTAACAGGCAGCTGGGCGAAGTGGAACACTCCTGCAGGACCTAAACTTCCATTCCCACCCAAGACCTTCACTCATCCCCAACCCATACTCACCTAAGGACCCTGATAACCTACTCTCTTGGGGGAATTTTTAAAATAACAGTTGATTTCTGCCCACCCCCCAATACTTATTTAGACCAATCTTTTATGAACCCAAACAATAAACCCCTGTTTTCCATAGTCAGAACTGCTTCTATAAAAATGATGAGGTAATCAACTTACTATTAAGTAGGCTACCTACATCAAGTACATAGGAAAAAAAAAGAAAAACTTTCAAATGAATGAAATTCCTTTAAGGATCTAAGAGCTACTCCTTGCCTTAAACATTTACCTCATTGGAGTGGACTGGAATACTGAGCAAGGTAGGAGTCAGTAAAGAGTCAGCCCTGGCTTTGCAGCTATCCAAGTGCAAATCTGCCCACATCTCTGGGCACACTAATATTTCGACCAACAAAATTCACTAAGAACTTCTGCCAATATTAAGCAGCTTATATCAGGTAAAACAACAAAAGGAGTCATGCAAACAAATGCTTAGACTCCTTCATTTCTTACAGAAGTAGGTTAAATCACTCATTGAGGCTTTCACTCTCTAATTCAGTTCAGAGGAAAACACAATTTCAAATCAGATACTCACCGTTCTAGTGAATGTGTCTGCCACTCTTGTAAAAGCAAATCTAAAAATTCAAAACAGCGCCTGAAAAGTGTTAAGAGAGAAATATATAACTTACATATGTTAGTGAAAATGAAACAGCTTTTTTTCTTAAGTGATCCAACACTATCACGTGTAATTAGGAAATTTCTTCCAAATTTTGTGGTTAGAAAAATAGAACAAGAAGAAAGAATGAGAAATGATGGAAAACTAAAGTAAATGAAAGTAATCAAGCACCTCTGGGGGCCACGGGCATAGAATACAATAGTTTCATTCCCATCAGAAACTTGGACTTCATGGTGACCCTGCTGAAAGGACCTACTGTTATTTATTTTTATACTACCTTAAATAATGTTAATATACAAGATGTACAAGCACAGAAGATTATTGTACAATACAAAATTAGGCCTTTGTACTAATTTCAGAAAATGCTTAACACAAAAAGTAAAGATATCTCCAAAAACTAACAGTTCCCCAAATTTTCATGCCCAAAAGGTCCAAGGTGGTGCTCAGAATGGATTTTCACTCAGCTGCTTTCCTCCCACCAATCCTTCCATATTCTTCCTTTTCGAGCCTTTCCACTGTTATGATTTCTCTTGGTCTGATGTGTGAACAAAAATGATTACAGTCTAATTTCCTTTGGACTGCATCACCTCTTAGGGCCCAATCTCTTTAAAAAATTTTTTCCTAAGTCCAAGGTTCCTATTTTTGCTGGAGTACATCTTAATAGTCCTAGGAGTTCATTCAAGTATATAAATCAAAAGGCAATTTTTCTCTAAATGACCAGACTTTCCTTCCCATGGTCTTCCCAGTTCACAACCTTATAATCCATGCAATTAATCAATCAATAAATCTTTAATAGCCCCTTCCCCTATGCTAGATGTTAGAGATACAATGATAATAACCAAGACAGTCCAAAGAAGAAGAGAAACAAGAAACAGTCACGGTGCGTTGGAAATGCAAGGGGCCAAGGGGCCAAGAGACATGTAGCTTGGTCCCAGCACTGGCAGTGGTGGGGGCGAGAGCTTATTGATAAGGCAGGGTTGCTCGAAGGAAACACCACCAAACTATACCATGTGCATGGCTTACTGTCACCCTCCCCAGTCAAGGCCATGTTCATCCTTCCACCCCCTTGCCCACGTCACTTCCTACTCTAAACTTTTCTTGAGACTCTTATCTTTATACCTACTCACCTTTCAAACAGTGGCCCAATTTTCAACTCATCTATGAAGCTTCTTGGGACTATATCCGCTGGCTTTAATAACCACCCTGTCTGCATTCATAACTCCACAATATGTGTGTTGTCACTCACTCTTACAGTGCTTTGCATTATTGTTTTAATCTCTTCAACCAAACGTCAAGCTTCATAAAGGCAGGATGTGTGTAATTCAACTCTTACCAAAGCTACAAAGCAAAACTAGATGCAGTGCGCATGACAAAGTGCACTGCCTTCATTACCTTGCCCTCCTAAGCTTTCTCTACTTTTCTGAAGGGAGAAGGACTGGGCTAGATGTTCCCTATTACTTCTTTCAGCATTAAGACACACAGTTCTGACTACAGAAACAGTAACTTGGTGTAGGGTTCAGAATTGGTGAGGGGCACCGTTTCTATTGTCATAGTGACTGTAGGTTGCTACTTGTACTTAGTAAAAAGGGCCAGAACTGCTAATTCTATGGACAACCCCTCACTTAATATGTTGAAGTCTTTACTCCCAATGTAATGGCTATTTGAATTAGGTCACTGGTGGGGAGGGGTTGTGATGGGATGGGGTTAGTGCCCTTACAAAAAGAAAGACAACAGATAGTTCACGCTCTCCTCCCTCAAGTGAAGACACAGATGAAAGGCAGATAATCTGCAAGCCAGGGAGACAGCCCCCACCAGAATCTGACACTTGCCGGAGCCCTGATCTTGAACTTAAAGCCTCCAGAACTGTGAAAAATACACTCTGTTGTTATGTCCCCTAGTCTATGGCATGGTCATGACAGCCCAGGCCGACTGATCCCCTAATATCCTGCAATGTTCCACAACAAAGTAGAAGCTGTGTCATCTCACCAGAGAAGTTCTATGTTACACAAAGGAAAAATACTTCTCAATTTCTGTTGGAAACCTAAAACAAAAGTGAGATCACAGTAACAGCAGCAATAGTAGCAACATATTCTAGTAATGATTACCATTTTATTAAGTTTTCACTACATGTCAGGCCCTTTTATCCTAAATGACCGAATCCTCAGAACAATTCTTATACCTTATGGGTCAAATAATCAGTAAATGGGAAAAGCTAATGTTGTTCAAGTGAAGTCGGTCAAGTTTTGAAGTTCATAATCATCCCTCTATCTTGGGAGCTGAAAATGCTCCATTCTAAGTCAAAGAGAAGCTGAACTGTAGGTCAAGGCCAAAGAGACTTTCTTAGGGATAGGCACTGGGCACACTATCAGAAATCATGCTTTTTCAGTGGGAGGAATAAATTTTTTTCTTCATGACTTCAGATAGATTGTTCCTCTTTTCTTTCTCTTGCCTTTCAAGCAGGTATTAATAAGATGACTGTAACTCCTGCTACTGGATTTATAACCAAAGGATGGGACATCAGGATGTGGAGGAGATAGCTGCACTCCTATGGCTACTGCAATACTATTCACAATAGTCAAGATAGGAAATCAACATAAGTGTCCATTAACGGATGAATGGATAAAGAAAATGTGATACACACACACACACAATGAAATACGATTCAGCCTTAAAGAGGAAAGAAATCCTATCATTTAAGACAGCACAGATGAGCATAGACGACATTATGCCAAGTGAAATAAGTGAGGAACAGAAAGATCAATACTGCATGATTTCACTTTTGTGTACTATCTAAAAAAAGGTGAACCCATAAAAGCAGAGAGAAGAACAGTGGTTCCCAGGGGCTAGGGAACTGGAGGATTAGGGAGGACACAAAATTTCAGTCAGACAGGAGGAGGAAGGAGTTTGAGAGATCTATTCACATCAGAGTGACTACAGTTAACATATTATATACTTGAAAGTGCTAAGAATAGATTTTAAGTGTTTTCACCTCAATTAAGTATGTAAGGCTATACATTTGTTAAATAGTTTGATTTAGAAATTCCACACATATTTATGGAATTTATACACATATTTAGTATTAACATTGTATACCATAAACACGTACAATTTTCACTGGTTGATTAACAAAATAAATTTTTAAAAAGACAAACACAGGGCTACTTCATGCATAAAAGGGTCCCCTACCCACAGAAGCCTGGTAGGACCAACATGACACCCGAAGAAAGAAGGCAAAAGTAGGCAGCTAAGGCCCCGCCCAGGCCCACCATTAATCGAGAGGCTCTTGTCAGATCTATGAAATCCCTAAAAACCTACACAAAACTATGTCCTGCGGTCACATTTTGCTGGGAAGAGGGTTCATAGATTTTAATAGACTCTTAAAACTCTACAGTACAACAGTTGAGAATCACAGATCTGAGCTAAGGGAATTCCTTTAGGGCAAGTTCGAGAGGATGCGTGATAAGATAAGAGACTGGGAAACAAAGTCTTATCTGATTACTCAGGTTGTACTTGCCGGGAGTATCTTTGGGGTGTAGTTTCCATAAATGCACAGTTGAAAATGACTGTCTGGATTCAGAATTCTAGGAATCACTCACAGAAGATGCACACAACATGTACCCCCTCTTACCCATGTTAATAAGAAATCATTACCATTGATGTTTGTATTTCTTCCTCCACGTAGTTATTGCCTTCACTGTCAATGGTGCAGACCAATGACACAGGTAGGAGGACATCTCAGGGAAAAATGTATCGGGGGTCCTCTACCCTTCTCCCTCCCATCAAACTGCCTCACTCCCTCATACACAGATACACATGTGTGCACACGCACACACACACACAGAAACAAACATAACAGAGCTTGTCCAGATGCATTTTTCCAAAATATTTAGACCTTGATTCTTCAACACCCCCTGAGGTACTTATTGCATTAAGCATTATATTGTATTGTATAAGGTTTTATCCATGGAAGAAGATTTAGAATTTGTTTTGGCTTTTAAACAAGTCAAAGATAATGATAAAATCCTTTACAAATTTACCTTCTAACTGCAACAGACTTAGAGGTACAGTTGCTTGTTATGACAGGTATTAGCCTAGGGATGTGTGTATGCTGTGGAAAAGAAGAAAAAACAGAGGTGAACACTTGCAAATACAAAAATGAAACAAAACTAAGAGAACCACTTCCTTACTAGCCTATTTAAACACAAATATATACAGATTAGAATGTCAGTGAGTTTTAAAAAGACAAAAAATTAGGGGGTGGCCCTGTGGCTCAAAGGGGTAGGGCGCTGGCCCCATATGCTGGAGGTGGTGGGTTCAAACCCAGCCCCGGCCAAAAACTGCAAAAAAATAAAAATTAAAATTAAAAAAAAAGACAAAAAATTTCACTAGATTTGCTAGAGGCCATTAGAAAATTTATAGCGTCAGGAAGAGGCAATGTGTTAAGTCTAAAATTAAAATAACCATCAGTATGAAGTCTAAATTATCTGAGCAGTCCAGATACGAGTGAATTTAAAAGTAGTCAGACCAATATACTTTGATACTATTTCAGTGGAAATATACAAAAATGACTTACAAATAGTGTAAGAAGGAACTAAAAATAACACAAAGTAACCAACAATAATAAAGAATGTTATGGATAGATTTTAATCAACACCATCAAGCTTCAAAGTTTCAGGAGCTGCCTCCTGAAACTGGGGAAAGGACTGAAGGTAGTAGTGGGACGGGCAGGAGGAGGTGATACAGAAAATTTTCATTTTGAGCCTTTGTGAACTATTAGGTTTTCTTGAAAACTTACACATAAGTTACTTGAAGAATTACTTAAATTTAAATAAATAAGTGCCTAGGAAACTAAAGGGAACATTTTGTTTCTGTGCTTATGCGCAATGAATTAAACTTCTGGATGAATAGCAAAACCACAAGCACAAATACCTAAAATGCAAGGACCAGGATTAAGGAGGTAACAACAGGAGTAACATCTGAGAGATTGGAATAGAACAGAAACTCAAAAGCAGACACAGAAATTCAAATACTTAAAACCAACAGTGAGTCTGTATCAACACCTCAGTAACTTTACATCACATTCATAATTCACATTATGGATTATAAAAACTCAAGTTATAATTAAAGAGGGGGAAAGATGATCCAACTATATGTAATTACTATGATGAGAAACGTGGGAAACGTGAATCTACGCTCCTGGGCTGCAGTCCTCTAATCTGGCCAAAATAGACTATATATATATATATTTTTTAAATGCCTCTAACATGTCTCATTAACTATCCATTATTTACCATTTGCTTATTTTATGTATAGTCCTATGACATACTTACCCGAATAATTAACCTAACAGCTACAACACCAGAAGTGGCCATAATTTTGGCACTATTTGGAATTAAATTAAAGATAGTTGGCATAATGGCTTCAGCTCCATGGTCAAACTTATTCCCCAGAACTGACGACAAATGCCTATAATAAGAAATGAATACTGGACTGTAGTTACACTTCTTAGAAACAATGAAGCATACAAACCACTTAACTTTTAGCACCTTCATTTAAAGTTATCTAGGGATAAAGAACAGAGTCCAAGTAAGATACTTAAAAAATATTTCCAATGTGCATGTAGAGAACTTAACATATAGTCATTAGCACACACATTTCTTCTTATTAATTTCCAACTATTCTTAAAGTAGTAAAAACAAAACCACAAACTGATCATATACTAATAAAAAGTTAATACAAAAAAGCTCCTTTGGCCCTTTTTTTCTTCTGCCCTTTTACCTTTGACATACGCAGGCTTCAGTATCTGATTACACCCAAAACTTTATTAACAGCTACAATGCCTCCTTACTGCTGCTGGGTCTCCGACTTTCTCACATACATTCTAACACAAGCTGTAGCTATGATCACTGATGCAGGTGCACCTATGGTAAAACTTTACTGCAACACATGCCTTTAACATTATACCTACAGTACTCTTCTAGAAAAAAGTTCTGATAATCATACTATATTCTGCCAGCAAAATCAATGAAAAATCTGAACAAAATTTTTTAAAATTTTATTTTTCCATATTATTAAAACTGCCTCAAGTTCAAAATAGAGGCTTCAGGACTATGTTACTTAATAAAACAAAATTTAATTTAAATTTTTTCAAACTTACATAATTGGACAGGAAATACTATAAAAGTACTGAAAGAAGTGTTAACTGGAATAGGTCTCAGAGACTAATCAAAAGTTACTTTAAGGAGACCCAGCCCAAATGTTCAAGGAGCCGTCTCTGAAGCTCTGTGGAGAGATTATTTTATGCTGTATGTATGAGAATACGGAGCATTGCAGTCCTTACCCCAACGTGATACAAGCCTCCCGCACTACCTGAGACCGCAGATCCTTAGCAGAGAGTTTAAATGCTCCATCCAAAAGACGTAAATGTTGAAAGAAGTTGTCATACTCAGCAGCACCAGCCAAAAGTAAAGATCTAATCTTTTTTAGCTAATAGGACAGAAAATTCAGAGACACACAAAACAATTCTTAACACAGAATAGATGAAACAATGGAAGCCATCAAATATAAAAAAGATTAACACTGAAGATAACTGAGACAGAAATAGTTCTTCCAAGAGAATTCACCCATGATCAGTGCCTGTAGGTCAGTGGTTAAGGTGCCAGCCACATACACCAGGGCTGGTGGGTTCAAACCCGACCTGGGCCTGCTAAACAACAATGATAACTGCAACAAAATAGCCGGGCATTGTGGTGGGTGCCTGTAGTCCCAGCTACTTGGGAGGCTGAGGCAAGAGAATTGCTTAAGCCCAAGAGTTTGAGGATGCTGTGAGCTGTGACACCATGGCACTCTACTGAGGGCAACAATGTAAGACATTGTCTCAAAAAAAAAAAAAAAAAAAAAAGAGAGAGAGAGAGAGAATTCACCCAGTTAAATATCAGCTAATACAATGAACAAATCTGTATGTCGCAAATAAAACCAGATAATTTTTAAAATGCAGGATCTGTGATACATACAATTTCTACAAAAAAATTTTTTAATTGAAAATCTTCGTGTACTTATAGATCCTATGATATCAATGATAATCAATTGAAAATCTTCCTTTTAGTTTATAAAAAGCCCTCCCTAAGATTACCTTCCTCCACACCCAACTCCAATCTGCCACATATTTAATGAATCAAACAACTGTAAATATTCCTACAGTATTTCTGTGTTATCCTCCACTGCATCATTAACTGGCTAGTCTGAGTTTCAAACAGAATACAACAGCAATTTTGCCATCTCTCTTCTTGTTGGCCAGCCAATGAAAAATAGCTTTCCTTAGATAAAACATACTTTCACTTTATTGTTCAGCCTACTTTTCACTAATCTACTTTTAAAAACAGAGGGGACACTTTCTAGCAAGTGATAATGAAGAAAGGAACACTGAGGCTCGGC